ATTTTATGAAATTCAAGTCAGAAACTTTTGAGAATTTCAGAAAATTCCAAGCTTTAGTGAGAAGCAAAGTGGGCTATGCATTAATTAAAACTCTCCATTTGGACAGAGGTGGTGAGTTCTTATCAAATGAAGTCAATCAATGTAATGAAGAAAATGGAATTCTAGGGAACAAACAACACCATACACACAGGAACATAATGGGGTTGCTGAACACAAAAATCGCACAGTTGTTGAAATGGCAAGAAGTTTATTAAAAGGCAAGGGACTTTCAAACCAGTATTGGGCTGAAGTAGTGGCTACTTCAATGCATTTGCTGAATATATCTCCCACAAAGGTTATGTTGAATCAAATGGTATATGAAGTTTGCAAAGGTACAAAACATTCCGTAAGCCACTTAAAAATTTTTGGGTGTATTGTTTATGCTTTGGTTAACTTCTCAAACTCGCTAAAATTTAGTTAAAAAATCATAAAAATTATTTTGATCGGCTATTGTCTTGAATCCAAAGCATACAAGTTATATAGACCTCTTAGTCGCAAAGTGATAATCAGTAGAAATGTCATATTTAATGAATAAATAAGCTGGAATTAGAGTAGAACCAATTCTAAAACTCATCTTGAAGCTTTATTAGATGAAACAATAGATCCTATATCAAAAAATTCAACAAATTCCTCTTCCTCCACTTTAAATACCAGCAGCCCAGCAAGTTCACCAAGCTCCACTTCAAAAGACAATAGCTTATCCTCCTCAAATGAGTCATCCGATGAGACACCTCCAAGGAAATTCAGATCTTTGAAAGAATTGTGCATGTGCTTTACTTATTGCAGATGCTACAACATATGTCGAAGAAGTAAAAATGAAGGAATGGAAAAATGTAATGAAGGAAGAACTGGTGGCAACACAGATAAATAAAACTTGAGAGATGACCGACTTGCCTGATGGAAAAAAGGTTGTTGGCTTGAAGTGGATATTCAAAACAAAGTATCATGCAGATGAAAGTGTACAAAAGCACAAGGCTAGACTTATAGCGAAAGGATTCTTATAGCCACAAGGTATCGATTTAGAAGAAATATTTTCTCCCGTTACTCGATTTGAAACAGTGAGAACACTCCTAGCCTTGGCTACTCAATTGAAATGGCCACTTCATCAACTTGATGTTAAGTCAGCCTTTTTGAACACTGAGCTTGAAGAGGAAGTGTATGTTGCTCAGCCTGAAGGGTTTATGATTAATACTGAAGAAGAAAAGGTATATAAGGCACTTTATGGGTTAAAGCAAGTGCCACACGCATATTACAACAAAATTAATTCCTATTTTCTGGAAAATGGTTTTAAAATGAGTGAAAATAAGTCTACACTCTACTTGAGAAAGAAAGGTAATAATGATTTTTTTTTGTTGAGTCTTTATGTTGATGACATAATTTATATGGGCTCATCTCACTCTATTATAGTTGAATTCAAGTCTAGTATGTTGAGTAGACTTAACATGAAAATTTTAGGTTTGTTGCATTATTTTCTTGGGCTTGAGGTGGAGCAAGGAAAAGATGGATTGTTTTTTTCACAAAAGAAATATGTATCAGACCTACTCAAAAGGTTTGGCATGGTCAATTGCAAGATTGCTGCTATACCCATGAATGTAAATGAAAAATTACAACTTGAAGATGGTCCCGAGAAAACAGATGCAAGAAGTTTCAGAAGCTTAGTTGGACGTTTGATTTATTTGGCTCATACTCGGCAGATATTTCTTTTTCAGTTGGTGTTGCTTCAAGGTTTATGAGCGATCCTTCAAAACATCACTTTGGAGCTCTAAAAAGGATTTTACGCTATGTTGTTGGAACTTTGGATTATGGTATTTGGTATTCTCATTGGATGATAGGAAGAATACTTTGGGAAATGTTTTCAGCCTTGGATCAGGTGCAATAACATGGAGTTCAAATAAACAAGTCACAATAACATTATAGTCTTCTGAGGCAGAATATGTGACAGCCACTTCCTCAGTTTGTCAATGCATATGGCTTAGAAGAATTCTGGTTGATCTTCATGAAAAGCAAGAGAAGGCAATTGAAATTTTTTGTGACAACAAGTCCACAATTACATTAGCTAAAAATCCTGCATTTCATGGAAGAACGAAGAACATCAAATTTCGTATCCATTTATCCGTGAGCTGGTGGCAAAAGGAGAGAGATCATGTTGAAGTTTTGCAACACTAATGAGCAAGTAGCAGATATATTGACAAAAGCATTTCCACGTCAGAAGCATGTCTATTTCGTATCACTACTTGGTGTATACAATTTCAAATCAAAGGGGAGCATTGAATATGTGATTCACAATTGACAATAGTTATTTTACTTTTACTGTGTTTAGACTTAGGCAAAGTTGATTTTTTATTTTCTACTCTCAGTTGAAGCATGTTTATAATAGTGCCAAGTATCTCTGCTTCTTTGTTGAGTTCAGTTGAGATGTAGTGCCTATAAAAAGACAGTTTTGGTTGTGAAAAATATCAGAATGCAGAAAACAGTCTTGAGTTCACTTTCTGCCCACTAAGTGTTTGACAAAATTCCTCTTTTTTTTTTTTTTTTTTTTTTTTTAATATTCTCTGTTTAGCAGTGTTTGAGTTTTCTTTTTTCTCTAATATATTCATAATTTTTCTTCTTTTTTTATCTGTTTATATTTACCTTTGATACATGTTGATTTTTCTTGCGAGTTAAATATCATATCTTGGTTAATATTTCTGATTCCTTCATCTTTCATGAATGCATAAGTTCGGTCTTTGTGAAGTTGAGGATTTCCTTGATGCTCTTGGCTTTTGCTCAAGTTTGGTCGTTCTTTATTAAATGCTCTCAATCTTTAAGTATCCTTGCTTCAGAATGTTATCTTGCTAGTCTTTGGTTCTAATTTGTCTTTCTTGCATGAGCATCAAGAATAAACTTCGAATGTTTGCTTTTTCCTTTTTCTTATTTCTTACAAATGAACTCTCTTGATACACCGGCTGATTTAATCAGTAGAACTTGCCCCGCAGTCATTTAGCTCGTTACTTCTTAACGCATGTTCTAGTCTTTAAAATAAGCTTTGAAATAAGCTTTTCTTTAAATTTCTCAATTCAAATTCATTATCGATATATGGGTATTTTAAAGCTTTTGAGAGGGCATTGATGGTGGAGTTACTTCTTATTCATCATTATTTTATACCTTCAGGGACAATAATTAAGCAACTCTCCTTTTTTTTTTTTTTTTTTAATTTTCTAATTTTTTTACAAAAATAAAAAAATAAAAATTTTCAGAACTTGAAAGAAAAATCCAAATATCTTCTCCGGCTTTTTAGTTTTCGTTCATTTTCTCTTTTCAGATGAACTTAAGAAACAAAAGTTTTTTTTTTTTTTAATTTTTCTTTTTGTACAAAAAAAAAAAATATTTGTAAAAGAGATGACTTCTTTTTCATTATATAAAATTAACTTCATTAAGCTGAAGCATGACTACAAAATAACAAATGAAAAAATTATGTTTTAGTTTTGAGGAGCTAATTTAATTTGCATGTAAAATTAAAATTATAACCACTGCCGTTTATTTATGAACTTATTTATTACATGGCGTCTCTCTCCAGCTTTTTGTGTCGTGGAATAACCTGGAAGCTGTGAAACGACAACGTTTAAAGACACCAAAAACAGGGTTGGACTTGAGTCAGTGCCAAATTTGGGTTGGGTTAACCTTCAATTATGTTGTATTTCATTTTAAATGAAATGAATTAGGTTTTAAAGATGGGGAATAATAATAATAATTTTAAGTGGAAAACATAAAAATTAGTTAGGGTATTACGTAGTCAAGAACCATGAATTTACTAATAATATAGAAGATAAATAAATTTAAAAGTAAATTTACTCTTGTTTTTCATTTGTTTCTCTTTTTGTTTGTAATATTTCATGGTTTGTTCTTCTTTCTTTAATTATACCTACATGCTAACTCAAAAATTCAAATGATATTATTAGTGTGAACAATTTTGTGTTATTTATTAAAAGCAATAAATCGCTTTGTTATTCAACAATAATAAAAAAAGAACAAAAAGAAAATTAGGATAGTTTTATATTAGGTATAAAGAAATATAAGGGAGAGAAGAAATGAAAGATTTATCACTTCAAAGTATCAAATTAGAGTATCTTATATGTATTTTAGGATATCTAATCTCTTAGATTGGAGCAAGGTTGATTAAAAACGAGTTTATAAACGAATTAATGACATCAAGTTGACCAATCAAATTATACAATGATAAAATACATATGAAGTTAATTGGATGACTGAAGCTCTAATCTTAAATGTTCACCGAGATGTTTGTTTATGGTAAGTTTCATAAAAGAAAAGTTGTCCTTATATGAATTATGATCAAATATATTGGCCATGAACATGTTGGTAGTACAATCCCATGGACTTCAAGTTTAAGATTAAAATAGAGAGATGGCTAACTTGTGAAGTAAATGAATTGCAATTGGGTATTTTAATTTATCAATCTATGGTATTGAATGGAAAAAAGATAATACTTTAATGTTGATATTTAACAAATAAATTTTCTTTTTTCTTAATTTCATAAAGTGATCAAAATTTATTTACTCTATTTACTTTCCCAAGAAATTACAGTATGTGGTCACTTTCAAAAAAAATTTGGAAAATTTTCGTACAAGAATTTCATGTACTATTTTTTTTAATTTAAAATACTATTTTAATTTTCTCTTGAGATTTTCAAAACAGTGAATCCCTGAACTGCTTCGGGTTCGAGGGAAGTGAGAATTTTAATTTTCGCGAAAGATATTTCTTTAAAAATGCCTCCAAAAAAATACTGGTAGTTTTCACTTGGCATATGAAGAATTTCAACTTCAAATCACTTACCTTAAGCCATATCATCCAAATCCATAAACATATAAAACTGAATGTAGAAAAAAATATATATAAAATAAAAGTTAGTAAAAGTGGAAAAAACAGATATTTTATATAAATAAAGGATGGGCAGCCAGAGTAAATGTAAGATGAGGAAATGAATTTTTTTCTACTGGTTTAGTAGTCACAGCTCAAAACAACACAACCCACATCATCTCATCAAAATACCAACAAATTCACTCAGAACAAACAAGCAGCAGCAACAGCAGCAACTAGGCCAGCCACCAAAGAGACCGGTGCAAGCAAACTGGAGAGCCTAGACGATCCAGAAACTCCGGGGGCAGGTGCAGGGGCTAGTTCAGCTGCTCCAGCTGAAGGCGAAGCAGCTGGCGATAGTGGAGCTCCACCTGAAAATGCAACTTGGGTTTTTTCTTAGCATATAACAAGACAATGCCTAAGGTGAAGCTAATGCAGAGACATTTTCTTAGCATATAACAAGACAATGCCTGAGATGAATCTAATGCATATGCACGAGAAGGTTAAGGGGAGAAGGGGGATAGAACAATGGAACAAAAATTTAGAATATATAAAATTTTAACTTTTTTTGGGAGGTCATTTCGCTCTCTTTCCTCTCAAATCACTGGTCTATATATATTCTTCTCAATGAAATGAGAAAGGAGAATAAATTTTCAAGAAAAAATTAATCTTTATGCTCTTCAGAAGTATACTATTCTCCTTTTAACATAAAAAATTTTCTTTCCTTCCCCTTTCCATTACTCTCCTATATTCCAAATGTTATTCTATTCCAATCCAAACAAAAAACCAAACTCAAGAACGTTGAAGAAGCCGCATGGACAAATTGTAAAAATAAATTGAAAGATGCCTCACATACAAACTCCATATCTCCCTCTCTTTTACACATCATACCTAGAATTTGCAAAGTATTCCTGAACTGACAGATTCTTGAAGTGTAAATTTCTCTTTTTAATTTTATTCTATATTTATTTCATAAAACTTTAAAATCAACCAAATTATATTACGCGTTAACAAATGGAATCACGCTTCTCTGATTTATTTCCCCTTTAATAATTCACATCATGGTAAGTTGGTGATATATACATGAACCCCACCACTAAAAATCTGACTATTTCTAGTAATAAATAACAACAATATGTCAAGTTAGCAAATACATTGTTTTTTTTTAAAAAAAAAGAAAATTAAATAAGAAAAGAGAAAAACAAGAAACTAAAATAGATCAGAGCAGATCATACCAGGCGCAGCAGCGGGAGCGTTGGTCACTGCAAATTCACAAATTAAAAGCTGGTCAATTTGCAATGATACAAAAAACTAAATCATGAGATCACAGAGATTAATCTTAAAAATCAATCAGTCGAAATCAAAGGAGCAAAACTCTACACATTCTTTTCTTAATAAATAATAAAAAATTCCATAATTTAAATAACAAAAAAGAGGGAAATTAAAAAATATATTAGAGGAGAAAATCCAAGGGCGTGAAATGCTAGTAACCTCCACAATTCGAAACAGAAGGAGCAGAGAGCTTGCATGCGGCAGGTAGAGTGAGAGCCTTGGTCATATTCAAGGCCACACCAAAAGAAGCACTGTTCTTAAACCCTTCGCAGAGACACTCTGCGTCGGTCTTCAAAATAGTCTTCAAACCAGAGCAGCAGGAGCCCTGTGGCTTCGACACTGTACTGCCATTTTGAACGAAGGAAAGACAATCTACTAAGTTGAAAATGAGAGAAGTACAGTCGACGGATGGCGATGGGGCCGCCGTATGGCTGTGATGAGCGGCATCAATGGCCCAGATTGAGAGGAGAGAGAGAAACAACAAGGAAAGCAAAGAGGTTGAAGCCATTATTAGTTCAAATTTCTTCTTTTAGTTGCAGAGAGAGAGAGAGAGAAGAGGAATGGGGGTTAGGAGTGATGGGAGGGATGGAATTTATTAGGTTTTTGAGGAGAGGAAAGGAAAAGACATGGTATGTGGTGTGGGGCCCACTAAACGGTGGACGTGCTACGTGGCATGATCTGCGGGATCTAAGTTTCGTCTCGTCCAAAATCTTCCAAAATGTAATTTAATTTCTTCGAGGAAAATTTATAGGCTTTTTAAAATTTCAACACTTTTAAAAATAAATCTTTATATTTTTAAAATTTTAAAATTAAGTTTGATACAAAATTTTAAATTACTATAAAAACTTACACTTTTTTAAAAAAATTATACAAAAAATTCTGTAAAAGCACATAAAATTCTAAAAATAAAAGAAAAATCTTGAGAAAAGAATTTGGTCAATTATAATTTAACTTTTTCTGAATTTAAAAAAATTAAAAAGTTTCTTAAATTTGGAATCTTTATTTTTCTAAGAAAGATTTTTAGTATAATGATTTTAATATTTTTTAAGAATTACGTTGTAATTATTTAAAATAATAAATTTAGTTATAATTAATTAAAAACCAAAGACTTCTCCACTATTTATCTATTCAGCGATTCAGGATAAATGAGATTTAATTATAAACTCTTTTCTGAGTAAAACTTAACTATAAACTTATCATTATTGTGATGATATTAGTAATAAATTAAATTTAAAAACATGATATTATTAATTAATTAATTAACAAATCCACATCATTATATCCGAAATTTGGTGGTTCCGTTACTTGAATTTATGAAAATATCCGCCCAAAAACTCATGACTTCGTCTTCCATTCACATTCTCATCACCCACTGATTTCAATCCCTTCTGCGCGGAGTTTTTCTTTTTGGGTATATATTTTATTCCTCAAATATATATTTAATTTTTTAGACTTTCAATTTGTTTTCAAATTTGCAAGTTGATAACGATATATTAAATTTTATTTAAAAAGTAAGATAATATATTATTTCTTTTTATTTTTTACAATTTATTTGAAAGGGACTAACTAAAAATATAATATTAAATTAACCAAAATATAGCTTTTAAGTAAAATACTTTTTGTTTATATTATGATTTCCTACTTTGAATTTTTTTGTATAATTAAATACAAATTGTTGGGTCTAGATATTAAATTAATCTTAATATTATTTTTAAAAATTTAAATTGATGTATGTACTAGTTTTTAATTTTTTTTTTAAAAAATATGTGTTTATCCATTAAATATTATTAATATCATTAACAATAAATTACATAAATGACTATTTTAAATTGAATAAATTTTCATACTAAATATCACATTATATTTGATGGATAAAAAATAATTTAACTTTTTAATTGTTTTTAATAAAAATTTGAAAAATTTTAAAAAATAAAACAAAAATAGCAAAAAAAGAAGTTTAGGCCGGTGGTGGCTGCTCGCTGGTGAGTAGTCATAATAAAACATCACATTAAAGATATCATTTAATTAACTTTCTTCTTGGTGGGTTATACCAAAAAATTAATGGCATCTAGTGCATATTGCTGTTGTAAGAGTTTGATCTGCAGACCCAGATATGAAAAACTCACAAGTAAAAATGAAAGGAGTTTTTGATCCTTCAAAACTGGTGGAAGTACATTTATAAGATGACTTTTCTTTCTCCCTGTAAGACCAAGTAAATGCATTTCCTGCAGCTAATTGAGAAGATAAAACAGAAACTAACTAGTTAGAAAATGAACGCTTTATGCTCCGTAGGTAAAAAACTTGAACAAAATATGTGAAGAAATTGAAAAGATAATTAGAGGGTTTGGATGGAAGTATAACCCCAACAATAGCCATATGGCTTATGTAACATCCCGAACTTGTAATTGAGGCTCGGGATGATATAATTTAATTTTGAATAATAATAATAATTAATTTTTTGAATATTTTGAAAAATATGGATTTTGGATAAATTTAAAAATAATTTTAAAAAATAAGATGAAACTGTAAATAAAATGAGGATGTATCTGAAAAGAAAGTTTGAAAACATGGACCAAAACATAAAAATGGGAATGTTGCCACGTAAGACAACCACGTCAACAGCATGACGAGTCAGACCGCACTGCATGGCGAACACGCTGGCACGGGCTCCACGCAGGCGATCCGCGTGTCTGGGCGATCCAACGACCCGTGCTCATTCCCACGCACACGAACGACCCAGATCTATTTCCCTGTTAGGTGCGATCGAACGGTCTAGACACCTTCGATCGAATGGCCCAAATCCATTCCCCTATTAGGTGTGATAAGACGGCTGATGAGGCACCACGTGGACAAGGATCGAGGGAAGGGGAGTATTTAAACTCCTCTTCCACCAAAACCCTAACCCTAGTCGCATGCCTGCTCGCCAGAGAAGAAGAAGAAGGGCGGCTGGAGGAGAAGCCCAGCCACCAGTGCCGCTGCACTGGAGACTCAAATCGATGCCGGTAAGTGCGATTTCTTTCGTTCGTCCCTTTTTCCAATCTAAGCTAACCAAAACCCTCTTTAATACAAAAAAACCCAAGGAAAGGTCGTAACCTGAGGAAGCAGAGGGCAGAGCTCGGCTGAGCCGCCGCAACAGAAACTGAAAAATGCTCCGATAAGCTGAATCCTCTTCCCGTTCACTCCATTTTCTCCACCCCTTAACCACATAACCTGTTTCCAATGTAGGGTGACCGAAAAAGCCACGAGCCATGAAGGAGGAACAGTGGAAACCGACTGAGCCACCGCATCGGATATTGGAAACACTAATAAGCCCCGATTTTTTTCTTTTTTCCACCGATAGACACCTCCTAACCACGAATTGAATAGGTTTTTACCCAGAACCAACTAAAACCAACCTGACTGAGAGGAGCTGCCAGAAAAAGAGGACTGGCAGCCGAGCACTGCGGCGGCGCAGCGTCGAAACCCTATATTGACCCCCCGGTGAGATTTTTATCCTTTTGGCCATTTTTCATGTATTTTCACGTTATTTTGGTGTAAGTTTTGATTTTAGCAGAAAAACCCAAGAAATTTAGGAATTGGGAACCGTCGGAAAGCGTAGTTAAAAAAAAAGTATTCTGGACACCAACCCAGTGTAAGAATTCCTCACCCCTTTTTCCTATTCGGCAAAATTGAAGCTAAACGGATAAATAAATAAAAAATTTAGTTAATATGCGGTTTCCTAATTAATTAAAGTATAGGTTGCCAATAAAGTAAGTAACCGGTCAGTTTACATCTGTTTGAGTTCTTAATTGCAGCATATACCTCTACATTTGTTATTATACTATTTTGTTCACTGTACTATTTACTTTAATGTATTTATTTTGAATTCTACGGTGAACACGATAAGGCCTCTTTATACATTTTGTCCTGTTATTCAATTGTATGTTTAATTGGTTGTCATTGGTGTAATGCATGTTTATTTCACGTACTTACCCTAAAATGTGAACTCATGTAATTGAGATACAGATATACGGGCCCTGTAAGGCTAAATAGTAAATAAAGAAGAGCATGTGTATGAATTAATTGTGTTAAAAAAAAGGCTTACCGGATCAATTGGAAAAGAATGTACAGACTTGGTGCATAAGGTAAACCGTACCGTGGATGTTACCCTTAGTCAAACAGAGCTGAGAAGTCCCATACTGAAAAGGGTTGAAAATTGTTTTGATTACACTCACACTGGACAGGGTATTGAGGTAGTTATGTGTTTTGACACCTATTAACAAACGGACTATGGGGACGGTCGTTTGATTATAGAATGAATACTCGTGTCTACGTATAGTGGAGACCCCTATGGACTCCCAGCAGCATTGGTAGGCAAGTTAAAATGATAAAGGTGAATGAGATAGGAATCCAACTTTGGGAAAAAATGAAAGGTTAATTATTATATGTATTTTAGAATGCATATTGTAAATTGCTATTCTGATTCTTATCTTCATAAATGACATTCATAAACTTACAGGTGAGTTAAGAAAATTAACGTTTTCAATTAAACGAGTTTTATTTAAAAATGAGTTCCATTAGTTATTTTATGATTTCTACAAACATTTGATTTTTTATATCAGTGTTAAGGTATTAATATTCTGACTAAGCTAGTGTATCTCACCCTTTATCATTAACCATTTCAAATTAAGACGACTAAGACCCGTATCCTGAATAGCAAGAAAACTACCTAGAAGATTGCCTCTCTGTTTTACCAATTTCGAGCAGAGGTTGATCATTTGTTTCCTTTATTATTCTTTTTCATCTATATTTTTTAAGGGCATT